ATATATATGTGGTATATATATATATATATATATACTTCGCATACCTACAATATATAAATATATATTTATGTATGAATATGATAGTGTGTGTGTGTGTGTATGTATATATACATATATATATATATATATATATATGTACGAGTGTTTAGACAGAAGGTCTAGGGTTTGAGGTTTAGGGTAATTGATATTACACCTTCCAAAAGACCCTTCAATTTTCTCCTTTACCCCGATTTTAAAATAAATTAATCAATAGTCGCTCGATTCGCTCGCTCCTGACATATCCAAAAAATCTTTCACAAGGTCCGAAGGTCCGAAGATTCTATTTCTATTTATTTATAGTTTAGATATTTAAGCTTTTCCGTCTCTTGATGATGAGAGCTTCTGACTTCTGACTCCCGAGTCCCGAGCCTGAGGCCCTGAGCCCTGAGTCGGTAAACCTGTTTTGGAAAGCTCAATTTTTATAAAATATAAATCATTAAAAAGTATGCCTTCGCACGGAGTTCGATCAGCCATTTGTATTTTGTACTTTCTTCTTTCTCTCTACTAAAGTAAAGCTAGAGCCTACTCTCTAGAGGGTCATGAAACCATAGTCTTCTGAAAATAGAATATTGTTAATTTTTTTAATATTGCGAAGAGAAGCAAAGTGAAAGTCCCTTCCGAATTCTAATAGATCCTTATAAGGAAATAAAGTGATATTTCTTGATTCTTGTGTATTTAAGAATTGAGAACCAGAATGATACAAAGTAAAAAAAGGCTTGTGATATAAAATATATAATTACGATTTGATACCAGCACAAGAATAGTAAGATATTTGTTTATTGTTTTGTTTTTGTTTTTTTTTACAGTCTAAAAGAATAGAGTATGTACCTACAGGCTGCATAGCCTTCTATTGTATAATTTAGAAGGCTATGCCCGCCGCTATGGTACCTGACTACCTGAGTACCTGTGCATAAACAGACAATTTTTCCCTATATTTCTACTCTCCCAAATGTTCTCTAACTTATATTCCCACCGACATCACCAAAGAGGTGACGTTTTTTTAAAATAAATAGAAACAATAAATGAGTATGTAGGTATTAATTTGTTCATTTATATATATACTTTGTTAAAAAACCCCATTTATTTTATTCCTGTGATTCCTGATTCGTCAACTTCAGGAGTGTGAACGCTGGAATCCGAGCTCCTGATTCACACTCTACTCTCTAGAGAGTAGAGTATACATATACCCTATACAGGCTACATTGCTACAATGTGTCAATGAGCCAGAGCCAAGGCCCCAGGGCCCAGGGGCAGCAAAAAAAGCCATTAATCAATGACGTGACGACGTCAGTCGTTGATATCACTCATCAGGGCAGCCGGCACTCGGCACTCGGCTTAGTAGTCTGTAGAGGACGTGGACTAAGTGTGTACATATTTACTATTTAGTACTACAGCTACTATTACTAGTACTAACTCTCTCTCTAATAGACAGTCTCTCTACTAGTAGAGTAGCTAGAGTAGACAGGAGTCTAGAGTCTGGACTCTGGATTCTAATTCTTCTGCGTTGTTCTGCAGGGTTTTATTATTAATTGTAGACAGTCTGGACTCTGGAGTCTAGAGTCTGGACTCTGGATTCTAATTCGTCTGCGTGGTTCTGCAGGGTTTTAATATTAATTTTGTATTATGATTTAATTTATTGGTCGTGGACTTCGCACTCTAGAGAAATGAAAATTCGACCGACTTTAAAGCACAAGCGTCCAGTAGTTATACGCGGATTTGTACTAAAATGTCGTATTTATTTGCGATCGATTTTATTCGCTTCTTGGCCAACCGCAGCTGTCTCAGTGTTCAGCGGCACTGGGCATAACGCCTATAGCGGCACTGGGCATAACGCCTAGCGGCTCATAGCCAACTATTTCGCCATAAGCCAACATTCTCTATCCTTCATTTTTGTTTTTGTTTTTGTTTTTTCAAATATCTAGACCTCGCCAGCTTACCTCCTGAGTCCTTACTCCTGAGTTCTTGCCCCTTGGAATGGGCCTTGGGCTCTTGATGTCAGAGTTGTTGTGTGTGATTATATTGTGTGATTATATGGCGAAGCCGTGAATATGCCCCAGGCCCCCAGCTCCCAGGACCCAGGCCCCCAGACGGGCCAGAGTCCCAGAGGGTAGGGAGTGGGGACTGAACCATTGGTGGGGAGACTGGGGACTGGATCAATAGGGTGAGGGGTCGGGACTCTCTGGGCAGACTGGAGTCTGGAGTCTGGACCCTGGGCAGTGGAGAACTGGAGACTGGTCAGTGGTCATTGGAGAGTTGTTGTCGACTTGTTGTGGACAGTACCACGAATGTATTTAGACTGTGGTGTAGACTGTGGTGTAGACTGTGGTCTGTGACTGTGGTCTGTGACTGTGGTCTGTGACTGTGGTCAGACTGTGAAGACTGGGCTCACTGGGGACTGGGGAGAAACGTTTTTTTTTAAATACAATACATGTATCATACATGTTCAAAACTTCAACTTTTGAGTTTTGAATATTCTTGTTGTGTTTGTTGACACTTGGCACTTGACACGTTGTCAATGTTGCGACGTTTTGTTTCACTCTTGTGTATGTTATTTATCCGACTCTTTGTATATATTTGTAAACACAGAACTTCATAAGGCATAGCCGCATAGCCTCTTCTATTTATTTATTTTTTAAATTAATGACACAGAAGGCTAAATTATTCATTTATTTTGTTGTGTCAACCATTTTGTAAAATATAAAAATATAAATAGTATGAGTCTCTCTCTCGCTCTCTCAGAGTAGAGTTTCTACTCTATAAAATATAAAAACCTACTTTCTTCTTCCTTTTGTTTTGGTTTTTTTAAAAACATATACTACTGATAACAGACGTCAGAGTTCAGACTCCCCAGAGTTCTGAGTTCGGACTCTGACAGTCTCTGAGTCTGAAGTATAAATATGTACTATCATACTTTTTACCTATGTAATTTTTTTGAGAATTATTCTATTTTATGGAAAGAGTAAAAATATGATATTGATCAGAACTTCAGAAGGTGATAATGTGATATGATGTCAACAAAAAAAATCAAGTACCAGTTTGAGTTCAGATTTCAGAACTTCCGAATTTCAGATAGACTGATCTGAACTGGTATTAATTCGTCAAAAAAAAGTTGGGCTTGGCAGTGGGGACTGGTCACTTTATGGGCAGAGGGCAATGGACAGTGGAGTGTGGACTGTGGACTGTGGACTGTGGACTGTGGACTGTGGACTGTGGACTGTGGACTGTGGACTGTGGACTGTGGACTGTGGACTGTGGACTGTGGACTGTGGACTGTGGAGTGTGAAGTGTGGAGTGTGGAGTGTGAAGTGTGGAGTATGGAGTGTGAAGTGTGGAGTGTGGACTGTGGACTGTGGACGCGGTGCCTGGGGTCTGGGACTTTGGTGTGGTGGGCTGGTGTGGACTGCTGCAGTTCTGATATTTTAAAAGCTGGTTCAGCGGTTGGTAGTTAATAGTTTGGGCTTTGGCGGTGTTAGTTGGCAACTTTGGCGGTTGCGCATGACGCACTTTAAAAACTTCGTCTTTGCCTTCTTTCTTTTGTGTCAAAAATAATATATACCCTACTCTCTGTGTGTGTGTGTAGAGCTGGTGTATATCAAACTGTATTACTATATTATGTGTATATATATATTTGCCCTTAAATTTTCACAAGTCATATTCTTAAAAATACATCTTTTGAAATAGCAACGAGCAATTGCACACGAAAATGGGACTTGTCAATAAAATCCTGAGGAAGGCTAGCTTATCCTCCACTCCGAAGCCTCATGTACACATCATAACGAGTGCAACTTTCATGAAGGATGTTGCACAACTTGCACAGTCACAGAGTAACCTGGACTCTGCATCGGATGATGTTTGTATGGTTACAAGTAGTCTCTCGTCGCCGGACGGGGTCAAAATTGCGCATATTAAACAGAATAGAAGCCGGGATTCGTATTTCAAGCGTCATGCTGTGAGAGCTACAGGGCTGCAATTGGAAAAGGGCGATAGTACAGCCGTACAGCAAATGAATCGAAATACTGTTCATGAGCCGACTAAAAGAAGAGTGTGCTTTAGTAACAAAATCGCTGTGAGTGATACATATACCAGCTCACAATACAATAGGAAATCTTTGGAGAAGACGGAGACAGAGAATGTTGCAGATATCTACCGTGAGCTGATGATTTACAAATTAACTGAAATGAATGTTCATGACGCGGCCATATACAACACTAACCAGCATTTGAATCGGGCCCCAACTGCTTGGCGAAATGAGATGTTACAAATCTGTAATTCTATTCTATCTGAATACACGGAGAGATTTGACTGCTAGCAGTAATCTTACAGTGAATAAGGGTTTTCAATAAATCACAGTCGCATCCGCAAATATTAAATTCTTATCATCAAATGTTAGTATTTATATTGAATGGTTTAAAATCGTTTAATGAAACCTGGCAGCTCGGTTGTCACTGATGTTTATTTGTGAATTCACAGCATACGTCAGAGAGTTTATATTGTAGTCGTGTCCCTCGAGTATCGAGCAAAGACTATAGAACTATATATATGGAGCTATAGGCCGTTGAAAGTTATACTGAGAGAGTTTGAATATCGCTCCTTTATAGATTGCAATCGAGAATAATATTCCGGGAAGATTCCCTGGCTTTACTTTCCTGTTAATAAAGAATATGATACTTACTCCTCAGTAAATATTCTAGCACGCCAACATGATTCCTCATATAAGCAGCCAAGGATGTATCGGGTGGCAGGGCGCCTCTGTTCCAAAGACTTTCTTAATGGTCGTGGATGGCACATAGAAGCTTTCTGATTCAGTGACAGATTGTGCATAAAGTTTTGTGTGGGATATGTACTTGGTAGTTTCGTAGATTAGCCGACTTCCAAAGCTGGAATTCGAAAGTAAGTTAATTCTGTACACATAACTGACAGAGAGTTCTCACTACAGTACAATATATTCTCGATTTAAGTCATTTTGGAACGTTTTTGTCTCCTCAATACAGGGGCATGTGCAGTCACCATTGAAGCAAATTCCTAGTACAGTGCGCTCAAGTACGCAGCGATAACCTGAAGAGGCTAACAGATTAGGCGAGAAAGCAATCAATATATATATATAAATATATATGTATATATATATATATATATATATAATATATATATATATATATATATATATATATATATATATATATATATATATATATATATATATATATATATATATATATATATATATATATATATATATATATATATATATATATATATATATATATATATATATATATTATATTATATATGATATATATAT